TCACGCTAGTTGTGTCAAAGACCACATCATAGAGGTTAAAGTAACACTTTTTCTTTGATATGCCTTTACTCTATACGAAACGTTCATTTCCTTTTGTGGTGTGTGCACCTATGGTAGGCCAGCCGTGTCTGCAATCACATGACCAGCCTCTTTTTCAACAACAGGAAGCAGCTACTGCCGTGAATTGCTTCACTGCGAAGATTTTAACATTGATTTTAAAAATGGATACCGACAGGTAAGGAAAAATTACAAAAGTACAATAAGATCTATCACTGAAAGCCCTTAGGATTAATACAGTTCATACAATGTTTTATAAGAACTTAAGATAAGCCTTATTATAGAACCACAATCAATAGGCTAGTCTCAACAACCTGGCTTCTAAGACAAGGCAGAGAGAATGTTATAGCATGTGAAATTCAGGATGTTAAATCATGAATAGAAAAAGTGTTTGCTAAATATGAGACAAGCTTGAGTTCAGCAATGACTTCTGATGACATTTCACTTCTCATTTTCTGTCATGCACCGGTTATAAAACTGGTGAAACGGACTGAAATACAGGAAGACGTGGCGCTAAATCAAAACTATATATGCATGCAACAAAGAACACATGTAACTTGAACACATGTAGGCCCTAGTTTTACGGAACAAAAACTTTACACTTGACAGAGTTGAAGCATTTTTTTAAGCATGAAGCCTTTGGGGATGTGATAGATTTAACTTTTGGTCACAGTAGGCGATGTTGTGTCATTTTGTGCCCTTGTTGTGAGTTGTGTGAACAGTCCATGCCTAAACTGCTTGGGCGTAATCAATTTCATACCCTAATTTTAAGACAACACTCAACGAAAAGTCTCAAACTAAAGGCACAGTCTCATCATGATCTATGAAGAAAGTTCTAGAATGCTAGTTAGCTAACTAGCTATCTAGCCAACCAAGATAAACTTTTTTTTTTTTTTTTTTAGATTGGGTAGCGCTGGTTTTCAAATGTTATGTTAAAAAATATTTAAAACATTATCATTTTATAAATTTTCTGTATTGACTGTTTTGTATCTCTCGGTTCCTATTTTGATTCTAGGCTGCTCAGGTCGCTGATTGAAGATCCCATTCCTTACATCAAAGACCCTTCTGCCTCACCCCAGTTTACCAATACTTGTGTGCTAGACTCATTGCTAGCTGCTCTTCATACAGCTTACATCAAATATCCAAATATAGAAGAAATTTTAAATAGAAATGACTTTTTCACAAAGGTTATGTCCTTGTTAAAAGAAAAAAAGTATACTGAGACTCAAATTCTGTGTGTGCAAGAGCTGAATCATGGTAAAGTTGACCTTTATGGCAATGTTAAAGATTATTTCCCACTGATTGCTAAACTAATATGTGCAGAAATCACTTATAAGCAAAGCCCCCCAAATGATGGCATCTATAAAGAAATACCCAGGTAAGTGTATAAGCAACTTCAAAGCAATAGTCACTGCCATTATAATTTATTTTAAAAAAACATAACATCTAATGGAGATAATTAATTTTAAGTCACAAATAGTTCATTTGTAAGGAGCAATATTTATACACTTTAACATGTATGTTATATCTCTTTTCTGCATGTAATGTGATGTTGGTATTGGCAGCATGCTTAAGCAATGTGGTGATGTAATGGTTTTGGGCAACCCATCTGATCCAACTCTAATTCTGGTTCATCGTGAAGTTCACAATGTTCTGTATCAAGATTGTAAGAGTACTGAACTGCCACTCCATGTTGATGATGAGAAGAAAAGGTAACTGTACAAATGCATCAAAAATCATTTTATATAGCCAAACTAACGTTTGAAACTAAAGTTTATATCCCTTTTATGTCCCTTGAATGGTGTATAAATCTTTCTTTTAGGATATTTGCACTTCAGTTTTTGCTGCTTGGGAAAGAAGAGCACATGACTACGTGCTTCCAGTCCTTCGAAAACATGTGGCATCTATATGACAATGATCCAAAAAAGCCTTCATTTCAACCTTTCGACCTTGAGAGTCTTAAAAACTATGTCATTTGTTTGGCAGGATATGTAAACATATCCCAAGTGAAGGAATATAAACTTGGTAAGAGATGCGCTTTAATCTCAGTTTGGGTGTGGGATATATTTTAACTCTCTGAACCACCAAGATAATCATCTGAATACCTTCTTGTGCATGTTTTGACCTGCCAACAAAGTCATGAAGTGATGTATGATGCTGTATTTGCTATAAATACTACTGTCATACAACTATCGTTCCCTCTCCTCTTCTCACCTTGTACACTTGTCAGAACACATATAGAGTTTTACAGCGATAGGTAATCTGTCCTCCAAAGCTCTTTTACCTTGAGTCCATTTTTCATACATTTATGTATACAGGGTCATAAATGTATCATGACCATTCAGAAGGGGATGAGGCATGGGAACGCCCTCTTAGTCCTTTAATGCTGCCCCTCACAAGCCCTGACATGGGTGTCCCTAAACACAGACTTTTTATATTGAATCTTTTTTTTTTTTTTTTACTTTTTTGCTCCCTTTATTTGCACTGGTGGCCCAATGACTCTAGAGAGACCCCAGAGACCCCGTGTTTCTACACAAGGTCATATTACTCAATTTTGTAAACCAATCAATTCCATGAAGGTGAACCTGCAGAGTGTTCCCTTTTGTGCCCAGTTCACACCCCATGGTATTATGTAGACCAAACAGCAGTCATCCAAACTGCTCATCTGTCATGGTGGAAAGAAATAAGTGGATCCATTGTCTAAACAAAGATTGGCCCATTGGGTGGTGGACATCATCACCAGGACCTGTAGTCATGCTGAACACACAGCCCCTACCACGAAATGCAATTCTACAAGGACTATCTTCTCCACACTGGCATCCAAGAATTCATCAAACATCACCATGCACTACCTCTAAGTTCTACAAGGCTAACGTTGTCTCTCCCAGTGGTGTGAATGCAGTGGTCATCTCTGAACACTGTGTTGGTTGCTCATGAGGTGGTTGTATATGTTATCCAGATGATTCTCATCACACCTGATGGTGAGGATGGGTGAAGTAGATCTCTAGTTCTGTATATAACTGTGTAACCCCAGATACCTGCCAGGTTTCCTAGTCATTCAGAACTAGCACTGACTTGGTGAGAGCTCAGGTTCCATGGGAAGATGGCTGTATAACATTGCAAATAATGTATTCCGCATCACTTCATGACTTGTACACATCACGCATGTGCATAATAAACCATCCCACTGATTCTCACTCCCTCTCATGGTTATCCATAGTTCACAGTTACATATGTAATTAGAATCTTCTTTTGTTTTTGATATACAATGAGTCCTTTTTCTTTGCTACACTCTGTAGGCATTGCTGAGACTGGAGAAGGAGCAGGAGCAAAGCCTTATTATTCACATTTAGAAAAAGAGCAAGAGGATCCATCCAAATACTTTTATCAACAACAGTCAGTGGCAGATGTAGAAATGGAAGATCTGGATTGTACCAGCTCTTACTCTGTAGCTGAGACTGGAGAAGGACTTGGACCACAGCCTTTTGGTCAAAACTGGCCAGAGGTTTCCCCCAAGCTGAAACAGTCAGTGGAAGACACAGAAATGCTATCCTGCAGCAGCTCCGATTCAGATTAAATAGACAGGATTTTTTTTTTTTTAATCACTGGGCATAATTGTTGATCATGCCCTACAGTTTGGCAGCACTTTATTTTTATGTTTTGTTATTTTAGTTTGTTATTTTCATACTTGCCAACAGTTAGGTGGGAAGGACCCCAGGTCCATCATCCAACTGCTGGGGGGCCTGGACTTTTTATGATTTGCTGCCTAGGCCACTTGTTTCATTGCTCTGAATCATTCCAATAAAATTTGTGGCTTTCTTGATAACTTATGGGCTCCTTGTTTTGTAATTGAAGTACCTTACAAACCATGTAAATGTTAACGATATAAATGTGACTCACAATATATATCTGCTGCTGTTCTTGACTATACCACTCTCAGTTACAATGATGTGAGACCCATAATCTTAACCATAATTAAAAAAAAAAGAATCTGTGCATTCAAAAAACAATACATAGCTGTTGTCAATCATGATGTGGTTTCACAATGTTTTAAAATGACAACGCTTACTCCAAAGACACAAATGTTAGTAAAATCCAAAAATCAACAACTTATACAATGTTGTTGTAAGTCTCCTGGGTCCTAAAACCTCACCCTTACCCCAGATCCACATGGGCTATGTCAAGTAAACATTGTATCAATACCTCAGTCAATTCACAGCTATGTTCCTGTACTCACTATTAGCAGTGAGAAAGTATAACAGCATCCTTCAATTTCAATCTGTTTCAGCAAATCACCAATTTGATTATTACTTATGAGTAGGAGAATATACATTTAATAATGTCAAATTGTCAAACTGACAATTAAATTAATCTGGCAGGCTAAAATAAACAGAGGAAAAAGCTAACTAGTAATACAACCAGTTCATATTAGTAAAATGTTGCTGCTTCATTTGTTCAGCAGGTTATCATTCTGAATTGTGATTAATGCGGATGAATTTAAAAAGGAAAATAGGAAATATAATACATGAGCATTATGTAACTAATGCTAGTTATCATCACTGCCAACTTAGCTGAGAGTTTGATAGTTGAAGAAAGTCTTCCGCAAAGAATTTAGTTTTTATTCAGTCCCGTCTGGTGAGGATTCCAGCAATTAGTCATCATTATGGTGATGAGAACAAAACATAAACTCTTTCTATGATGAAATGAACTGATAAGGGAAGTTAGTTTGGTGAATGAACATGCTGAGAGCAAAAAAAAATGTTCGTTCCTCTTTCAGTTGCTCCCGTTAGGGGTCACCACAGCAGATCATTGGGCCACATATTTGATTTGGCACAGTTTTTACACCGGATGCCCTTCCTGACACAACCCTCCACAATTTTATCTGGGCTTGGGACCAGCACTGAAGGTACACTGTTGCACGCAACCGCGGTGGCTGGGGTTGGTTCCCTGGCCGGGAAGCAAACCCGGGCCGTAGCAGTGAGAGCGCTGTGGGCTAACCACTAGTCTACCAGGAGAGCAAATTGGAAGTGATTATTCACTGCTTTGATGAAAACTTCCAGTAGCTTGAAACATTTCCATAACCTTTAAATTCACAGATTTTGGAAGACACTCATCAAAAGTCAAAAATCAAAACTCATTCTCAGCTTGATTCATAATTTCAGTGGTTTTGAAATTACATTACCTCAAATGCCGCTTCATAAAAGTTGGTCTGATGCAATTTCCTGTTTCTGACTTTCATTCATTCTATGCCACGTCTACTTACCGTGCTTCCTTCATTATGTTGTTGGCGATTAACCTGGCAGCCATCTTAGAGTGAGAGAGAAAGAGGAACGATAAGGACTTTGTATTGTAAAAATCCAAATGGAAGGTAAAGTAAAACTCATAATCTCTTCTGAATATCAACACCCTTTGGTCTAATTTGGTTTAAACAATATTTTTATTGCTTAACAGATCCTGAGCCGTGCTTACAAAGAAAAGAAATGGAAAGAAGAGCAATAAAAAGAAAAGGTAAAGTAAAACTTATAATATGCTCTAGATGTAAAAACCCTTAAGTCTAATCCTGTTCTTAAAATTTTTTATAGGCGAAAGAGAAAAGACTTTTTCTAAAAACACAACCAGTAGCCTAGTCTCAACATGTTAGCCTCAACACAGGCTGCGACAGGGTGGAGAGTATGTTCCAGTTATAAAACTTTTATAACTTTTAAAAGTGCAGAGCTGAAAAGAAATTAAATAACCATAACTTCTACACTCATCACAACTTCCTTTTGATTTCTATATAGTCAAATTTTATTCATGAACTCATTGCAAATTCTAGACAACTTTACCATTTGCATAGGTTTTGCCTCTAAGATCAATTAATATTGCCGTATCAGGAATTCACAGAATTATGAATTTAAGCACTATTTATATTGAAGTGCTTTGATCCAAAAGCCATTCATACTACTCAATACAGATGAATAAAAAAAATTCAGAATGTTTTTCGTGAGAATTGACTTGGTAAATGATTGTGCAAGGTTTCTTTTTTCCCCAGCACTTTTTTCCCCAGAAAACAAAGTAATGCCTGTTACCTTCTTTTTATTTTTCATATAGTGAAACGTGGAACTTTTTTTTTTTCCTTTGGTCTCTAATTCAATAAAATCAGCTGATGTGTCACTGCCCCCTAGAGGACACACACATTACATTCAAGTTTGAAGACCTCGCCCTGTGTGAACTGTGTATAGCTGCTATAACAAGTTAATAACAATGACATACCTTTTTCATAGACGCTTCTAACATTTTCTTTTTCCTCTTTCTTTAGCCTTAGTCAAGAGCAGTGTACAAAATAAAAGGTAAAATCCTAATTTAACCAATTATATCTTATTGATTCACTATTCTATTTTGAAGACCAGTTTTTAATTTGATTGTTCAATTATGAAACACACAATCACATCATGTTTATCAAGGTTTTTCCTATTTACCAGGAGCTGCCCAAGGAACGGTGGTGGTAAAACATCCATTTACGTTCATTAAACAATACTAATGGATTGTTATTGATTTTTTTTTCAAGAATGATTGTGTACAGAATACAAACTAATGGTAACCTTTTTTTTTTTTTTTTTGTTACTATTTCTATACAATTTAGTTACAGAAAGGGAGGAGCCTACATGGTAAGTGTTTAGAGATTATGATCATTATATATAAATAATTTTTTTAAACATATTGCTATTAAAATCTCTGTACTGTATTGCATCTGTCAGTTCCGGGCCTCCAGTACTACTGATGCTGATCATCGGAGCTCAGGGTTCCTACATGAAAGAGGCTTCAGGCTTATACCAGTTTTACAACACTTGTGTCCCAGACACGTTATTGGCTTCCTTTCATATTCTTTCCATCAAATATTTACATATAAGAGCTCTTCTACGATCAAATGACTTTTTTAGAGTACTCATAGATACTTTAAATGAAGAAAAATATACTTATGCTAGAGCTCTTTGGATTAGACAGCTGAAGGATTTTAATAAACTTGACCGTTTCGGTAATATAAAAGACCATTTGCCAATCATTGACAAACTGGTATGTGCTGAAGTTGATTATCATCAGGAAACCCCCAACGGCCATCCCATATATGAAAAAACACTGACGTGAGTTTATAAGTAATTGCATTACATTATAAAAACATGTCATATTAACAGCCATATCATTAAACAAACAAACATATAAAATAGTGTATGGCTATCATACTGGTTTTATACTGGAAGTGGTTGCAGGAAATGAAGTCAAAATTTTATCTGGAGATGATTAATATAAGAAACATAATACAATATATGAATATTGCTCCTTGCATGGAAACTATTTGTAATTATTGGACTATTTTAACACCATTTAAGGAGTTTTGGATCTTTTTTTTTTTTTTTTTTTAATAAAATTTTGACTTCATTTCCTGCAACCACTTTCAGTATAAAACCAGTATGATAGCCATACACTATTTTATATGTTTGTTTGTTATAACCTGATCTCTGAATTGACAGCAAATTTCGGCCATTTGGTGACCTGAAGGCTTTGGGTGATATATCAGATCCATCTCTTATTCTGGTGCACCGAGATGTTTACAATCCTCGTTACGATCCGTGTATGCATCATGAACTGTCCCTGGCTATTATAGATGACAACAAAAGGTAACTTTACAAATCCATCAAAAATCATATTATCCTGTGGACCTGGGGGTATTTCAGAAAGCTGGATAGCCACTACAATGGAATTTGTTAACTAAAATTCACAATGTACCGTTGCGCTAAACCTAGCCCACATAGTGGCAGATTTTCGAGTTAAACTTGAGTTAAGCCGTGAGAAAAATTCCACAGGAAAGTCTTGGTTACAAGCTGTAGTTTTTCTCTCTTTTTAACTTCCTGAGAAGGTAAAGGAACGATTGTTTATAGCTGCTATAAGCGATAACAGGAGCTACCATAGATACTGCACAACAGCAAATGTAAATAATAGCTGTTAAAACTACGATGTTCTTTACTAGATACAAACGTAATTGCTGCAAAATTGCTTTGCCATAAGAATAACAAAAGACTCTTTGGGATGTGCTTTGTGTATATCAAGCATTTTCACAACAGTGTCATATGCGGCTCAGTCGACCAGATTTAAAAATAAATAATAATATTGCAAAAAAAACCTTTTAACAGTTTGTGTCTCTGGTCCAAATGTGCCATATGAATTTTCATTGCAATTTTAGCCACTAGAAGTCTTAAAGATCAGAGTGCTCTGCATGTTAAGATTAATGTTTGAGTTTTTGTTCGATTTATTGTACATAGTATAGGAGACATCATACAGTGATACAAGACAACAGTTGTGCTGTGTGTTGTATTTATTGCGTCATCTATTTATTGTCAATATACTGATTCTCCGTTTACAGGGTAGAG